AGGTGAAACGAAAAAAAATAATCAACGGCGAAAAGTTTTGCGTGTGAATGTGGAAAATGGAAAGGGCAACAGAGCAGGCAGGCAGGCAGGCAGGCAGCAGCAACGGTAGAGAAAAAAACTTTCTTGTTTATATTTTTATACAATGGCCATTATGTTAAATAACAGCTAATCACAAGGCACACACAGCACGACGACGACGCACAAAAAAAGAATAAATAATTGGAACAATAGTAACGGTAACAAGTCACAGCAATGAAGTCAAATATAGTGAACAAAGCTGGCGATTAGACGACTGCGACCAATATACAGGCGGCCGTGCGACCCATGAATTTAATTTGTATTGTGCAGGAGAGCAAGTGAGCGAGAGACCAACCAAACCAACGAAAATTCCATTGCGGCTTTTCTGAACACACAATGGTAATGATTCCGTCAATCATCACCATACCAATCAGAAAAAAAAATATGTGGTAGATGGAATGAAAAGCAGCAACATAAAGAAAAAAAGTTGGAAGCAGATTATGCATAATAGTTGACAAATTACATATTACAATTACGATTTGTCGTTAATTTAGCGTTTCCAATGGCAGAATTTTCCCGAAGCGAATTTTTTTTTCTATCGACACAAAACGCCAACCGCACACGCACACAAATCGATGATCGACGAGACAACATACCTCTTCAGTAAATGTTCACGTTGCTGTTGCTGCTGCTGCTTGACATTTCTAGCAATTGAAAGTAGAATGGGCGCAAAACGATTCTCTTGAACAGAGAACCAAAATGAACATACAAGAATAAAAGAAAAAAAAAACATCAAATTTTCAATGGAAGTCATCGTTTCCATTGTTAACGCATTGTTACTTGCTCATTTTTCTACCGATATACAGTATACACTGCTTTTCTGTTGGTAGTTCCTTGTTTGGCCCGAAAGAAACTCAGCACACATTTTCCTTTTATTGCTATTTAATATTTTCAATTTTCCCGCAACACCACACAAACACAGTTTTCCCCATGTGGATGTCACTTTCGCCGTCACTATGTCTATGCCTGTGCTCTATGCTTCATGCGTTAGCGGGGTCGTACTTTCACTATTGACATAACGAATTCATTAAATTAGCGAAGAATTGTAAACAAGTTTTGTGTTGAGCAATTATGCTAATCTACGATAAAAGCTCAAGCGGACTGCGTACATTTGAAATATTCAAAGTTTCCTTTTTTTTTGCTTGGTCGGCATCATGTTCCTTCATGGCTTCAATAATAACAAACGACAACAACAACAAACACAGCAGCAGCAGCAGCAGCAGCACCAGCACCAACAGCAACAACATCGTTGTGAAAATGAACTAGGACATTTATTTAGGCAACGAATATGGGCCCACTGCTGTACGTGGCGCGCTTATTATATTTCTGTGTGCACGATTGCGACGGTGTACAAAAGCGAATTAGTCGTTTGTTGATGATGGTCATTCGCCATAAATCGGAAATCGTGCATATCTTGAACACGAATCGCGCGAATGCATTTCTTGTCATATCAACGAAAAAAAAGAGTACTAACACACAGAACGGTCTCCGGTGACATTGAACGGAATTTGTATCGCGATTTCAACTGATAATTGACTATAGGCGACTATCTGATGCATTATATATATTTTATTCACTGCTCCTGCCGCTGCTGCTTGAATGGTGTTGTTTCATTCAACACCAATTTCATAATATGTCAAGGCTTGTCGCTGAACAAACGTCCATTTCAAACTTGTCAAAGTCGTTAATATATTGCACACTTTATAAAACATGACACAACCAATGTCTTGCAGGTTCGAGCCTTTCGCTTAAATACTTCGAGCTCTTGCTCTTTCTGTTCCGTAAAATACATTCCACAATTCTATAAATAAAATATCTAGCCGAAGAGTGAGTGAGAGAGAAAGTGAGCGAAAGCGTCAACAATATGGGCCTGTGTGTGTGTGCGTTATCCTTACTTGAACTTATGGAAGAGCGCCAAGTGAGTTGTAGATTACAAGTTCCAATTCAAACAACACTAAAAAAGGCACCGAGCAAACTTCATATTAAAAGAATGCAGAGAGAAAAAAAGGACATTGGCGAAAAAAAGCAATGATGAAATGAAAAAAGGGCTGAGAGGGAGAGAGTAAATTATACAGCTGTGCAAACGCAATACGCTTGAACTGCGAAAACGATTGACTGAATGAGAGCTACATGTTCCCAGGTTGTTTCTTCTTGTTCAAACAAATTAATTCCGGGTGAAAGTGCTGTGTATCTTTGCTTGCTGACAATGCTTAGACGTGTGTTATGACAGCTTTTTTGCTCACACACAGTTTCATTCTATCACCAAATTCACATCCACTCGTTGCTCAATGGATTAACACGTCAATACCCTCAAAAAGTGCATATTTCCAATCTCAATTATAGCCTCACACACACACACACACACACACACACACACACACTCGCAGTCTCAATGGCATAACATGTAGTAGTGCCGATGAGACAACATAAATGAAAATAGCGAAGCATTGTTTGACGAAAAAATAATCCCTGAAATTATACGTCAGCTTCGAGGTGACTTTTGGCTCGATTGCTCTTCCTTTTTCAAGAAAATGAAAAGGCAATTCTTCTTTTTCTGTTGAGATTTAATGCGTTAACGATTCTTGAAACGGATGACGCGTTGGGTCGAGAATCCCAAATATTTTACGTTTCGTTTAATTTCATTTATTATCCTTTATTAATTAGCCAAACATCGACCTGATAAATGCTCTCCTCCTAATTTGAATTGAAGTTCAACTTCAAATATTGATTTTACACTTTTATGACGTGTTTAGTTGTGGTATATGCTGAAAAAGCGACTCAAACTCAACTGAAATTCTGAGCAAAATATAAAATTTCAAATTGGATTCTAATGTTGAATGTGAAGCCATATGTGGCTAGTAATATTCGAAAAGTTCTACTGATCAATGTGCATTGTGCAATGTGCTTCATCAACAATTCTTTGACGCCCAATGACGCTTACCACCAAACAATGATCAGAAATCTCAATTGATTGACACACTCGCCTTTATAAGTTGATAATCAATGTCAAAAATCAAAACACCATCGGATATTAATTCGGCCGATAGAGAATAACACATACATTTGGTGTGTGTGTGCATCATTTGAGATTGATGAAGAGTCAGATATTGGATTTGCATGTTGCTGTACACCGATCATTACTCAAAGTCATTAGCTTTTGCAAATCGATGTATTTCATAGTTAAAATCATGTGGCTAAAGACTAGGGGAATATCACGAATAAAAAATACCATAGAATTTCTATAGATTTTTTACATTTTTTTCAAATTAATTTCAATTATATTACATTATGCGAGATATCTGAGATTTTTTCAGATATACAGCGGTATTGCGGTTTGCATAATATTGTCAGCACCACAATGGCAACCATTTTGACCACACAACAATGAAAATTAAACTGAAAAAATACTTTTTGTTAGTGACATTTTGCATAGTGAATCGTAAGTTTATCATTTGAAGTTTTGTGTATTTTTCAATACAATATTCAAAATATCCATAAATATTTAGTTTGGAAAATTTGACAGTTCGAGCGTGCTTACTAGACGCCATCTTGAATTTTGATATTGAACATATCTTCACAAATCTGCGAAAATTCACATTTATCTTCAAAATTCATACAATTGCGCTAGAAACCGATAGTGTGGAGCTGGAAATTCGCCATATCTAAAATACTCCGCATATGTCAAAGTATTCAGCAGAATCTCAAATATCTCACCGTATCTCACATGGTGAATATGAGTACCTAAATAATACAGATTTTGCGCAATATTTGAAATAACATAAATTTTATTGGATTTGAATGAAATAAATGAAATAAAAATAAGTTTTGTGAATAAAAATTTCGTGATATTCCCCTAGGCTAAAGAGTACTAGTGTAATGCCACACTAGGTTGCATCATTTTGATTGCCAAATCATTTAAAGCGTTCGCCAGACTAAAATACACATCGAAAGTCAAGGTGTATTCGAAAATGCACTACGGTGCAAAAGGTGTCTCAAAATGGATTTGCTTACACACCACCGATTGAAATACTGCCCACTTGCTCTTTCGCTCTCGCCCCATTCAACTGCACATATTGATTTTCTTGCTTTGAAGCTGTATGTTGTGCTGCCCGTAATTCACACAATTCATTTACAATCAATTTTAATATTGCGTCTATTATTTTGGATATTGGGGCGACTATAACGGCCGATAATATTACGCCGATGACCATGCAACATTCGAAAAATGCTTTAAAAAATATTGGCGTGCCTTTATTTTTAGACACAGTAAATGCGAATCGTTATGCAAATTACAATCGCAGTAGTAGGTTAATATGAATACCGCCTCGGTTTTCTCAAAGTCGACCCTTCTTGGACGCTGGTTGCTGGACGAACTGACCAACATGAAACCAGCAAAGGAAAAGCAACGAAAACAACAAATTCATAATAATTGCCAGACCCGTGTGCAAATAAAATGACTAACAGTCACTCAGTTGTATGTAGCTTGCTGTATGTAGTGATACACAACTAAAACTGGCTAAAATGATTGAAATCATGCGTTTTGTATGGAGACAATCACGTTTAGTTATTCTTTCAGTCAGTCGACTAATTTGGGACATGTTGACTAAGAGTGATTTGTGATTAAAGTTAACTGCAGTTGCTTACTTTGTTCGAAACAATCACTTTTAGTCAGTCAAAATGTCCCAAATTAATCGACTGACTAGTCAGTCAAAAATTTTCCACACGGGGATACTCTCGAAATCGGCTTGATCTAATCTAGACGATAATCGGCCTCGAATAAATAACTCACTCGTCAACATTGGAAACAAAACAAAACAAGACAATTCTTTGCACAAAAAACTCATTTAGCATTACTTATAATCATGAACACACTCACTGATGACCGTTTTTATGTTGTTTTTCTTCTTCTTCTCTCACTTCAGATGCGAGTCAAACATAAGCATAATAATGATTTACCATCCTTATCGACTGGCGGACAACATACAAAACTAGGACCAATCACAATGACCAAAAACAATCGTTTCAAACATCATAATTACTGAAAATTACGCCTTAATAGAAATAAATTCATATCTAATGTTAAATAATATAGAAAATAATTAGTCACTTGTCGCAAAACATCGCCTTAGAATTTAAAAATCAAAATTAGATAAATTAAAGTTTTGTCTCAAAGCTTGATGAGAAATCATTTTGAAAAAAAAAAAAAAAAAAAATCTCGCGTCAACCGTTTAAAGCTTGCAATATTGTAAAATGGAAAATTACCGCTGGCCAATAGAAATACTTATGAAGCAACGAAATTTACGAAGAATCATCGATGACCAAGCAAATTGCATCGTATCTGCATCCAATAATCTCGTTTGCGTTTACAAATTTGCTTTAAAAGGACGCCGGTCTAGTCGCTAGGTGAATTGAGTGCTTTAAAAACGATGAACACAAATAAATATGAGATAAGATATCAGCTCGCATTTTATTGAAATACTGTCGACACAAGCATATTTAGTTGTCACATCGATATTACATTAAACAAGTCTATAGAAAATAAAACTAATTAGCACGTATTTGGTTTGTGCCAGCGGCGAATTTCCGGTGGTCCAGCATATCATCGATGTCATCATATCAAAGCAAACATGTAATCTGATAACCCAATTGATTTATTAGTGTTGAGCAAAATTAAACCTTTTCTTTGCACATTCAAAATGGAACGAAAAAAAGTTCGATGCAATTCACATGTTTCATGGAACCTCATGCAGATTTTGACTCAAAAATGTCTGAATTCCAAAAGAAAAGGTTTTCTTTTGTTTATCACCATTTGAGCTAGATGATATAATGCTGTGATTTATTTATCGGTGCTTTAATAAGTGGTTTTTCTTTTGTGTCTTCATTATTGCAGGTACGTCACTGTCATCTAGCCCGGATTGGAAGAGAGAGAACAAATTATGTTCATAATTTACTGTGCAAGTGCCGCTACAGTGCTAAAGTGCTTTAGAAATCTTCTGTGAAATAGAAAAAAATAATAATAACAGCAACATAAAATATGAGTGATACAATATGAGCCTACAATAACGAATAACCGAAAATCATATTCTAAACGACCAAAATAAAAGACTAAAACTTTTAGTGGAGTAACAGCAGAGCAAAAGAAAACAACAACAACAACGCGAGCAAATTCAGCACAATTACACAGTGCCAGCGAAATTCGGGCAGTGATTTTTTTTTAGTTCGTTCGTTTGTTCGTCGTTCATTCTTTCATCCCTAATTAGTGGCCATTTTCAACGTAAAACGTCGACATCGTTTCGAGTGAAAATCACATCGAAATCCACACGCGAGTGATACGATTCTGTGTGTTGTGTTTTCATTTTTTTTTTCGAGCACCCAAAACTGCGAAAGACGAAATAGTAGCAAAAATGCCAGTTAGACGAGGTCACGTTGCGCCACGAACAACCTTAATTGAAACCATAATTAGGAAATTCGATACAGACAGTAAGTAACCGTCGTCATCGTCGTCGTCGTCAAAAGCAGGGAATGTCTGCACATAGATTTATTCAAATAAATTCAAAATATCAAATAAATTTATCCGATATTGTTCATGCGTTGCGTTGTTGTAGCGCATCTGCGGTACAAAGTTCATATTCTCTTCCGGATTTGCCAACTCAAATTTGAGATTCAGCATCCCAAAGGGATGCGTACTGGAGGATTTCACTTCCAGAATACACTAGGTGGGGTCCATCTGCTCAACAAGTTTCACTTCCAGCTCAGCCAATATTTTATAAACGCTATTTTTAAATATAAGCTGAAAACAAAACTAGTAAAATCTTCTGAAATATTGCCTGAGCTGGAAGTGAAACTTGTGGAGCAGGTGGACCCGACCTAGTCCAATGTATTCTGCCGAATTCCGCTCAGAACACCCTCAAATTTGAGTTGGCAAATCCGGAAGTGAATATGAACTTTGTACTGCAGATGCGTTACAACAACGCAACGCATGAACAATATCGGAAAAATTTATTTGATATTTTGAATTTATTTCAATAAATCTACGTGCAGACATTCCCTGGTCAAAAGCAAGAGAAAATCGAGTGAACAAAAGAAAAAAAATTATTGCCAAAAAAATTGTGTGTTGAAACTTGAAGCATATGGAAAACTTCTGCAATTCATCATCACCAAAAATCCGGTTGACTATTTCAGACAATTGCTTTTTTCCAGCTTGAAACCGCCATCCGAAAATTCTAATTTAGAAATCGGTGACTTCGATTAGCTAAACGCTTTTTTAGTCATGTTTCAAACACTTTCGGTCGTTAAGAATAACGAGAAGAAAATAAAAAAAAGAGAAGAAGATTGAGCTGCATTTCATTAATAAAAGCAGCCTCTTTTATCCTTTCATCATTTTTAACGCCCACTCATTCTGAATTTCATGGCACAGACGGGAATGGTTGATTGTATGTGTGTGTGTATACAAGCGCAAAATTGCTGTCGAATCGGGTATATGGCGCGTGTCTCCAGGCTGTCTACGTGCATAATTGAATCCACGGCATTTTGTTGAATAGTTTGATTGATCGTTCGATTTGAATCATTGCATCGTCATCGGCGAATGTTTTTTTTCGTTGGTACGTTCGCTTCGAGTAAGATGTCTTCTATCAATCATTTCGTAATAAAGACAGAAGAAACAAAAACCGACTACTCGACATGGCTGTGATGGTGATATTTGACAACGATATGGATAGAAGATATTTGACTCTGTTTTTGTGTCCAAAAATGATGGCTCTTTACTCTATATTGGAACAAATAAGCACCCACATAACCAGTTGTTGTTGTTGTATGAATTTACTGAAAATGGTTTCAGTTTTTCGTTCATTCTGGATGTAAATTCATTTTGGGCGAATTAAAACGAACCAAAATTACAAATCAATTTGTGGCCCATGTCTCGGCCAAGCCATATTCCATTTCTCATTTGATGAATGAGAAAGTAAATGCTTAAGCATTCGCCACCTGAATATAAGCGCCAATGTGCGGAAACGTATACGAAACAAACAAGAGAAGAAGAAAAACAGCCAACGCTATGGACGCAATAGCTACATGCATTGTATATTTCAGTTATGCAAATAACCAGCGACAACATTACAATTTTCATTCATTTTACTTGACATGACATTACGAACTCTAAACACGAAAGCCAACCCACTGAAGCATTAAAAACAGTCGAAATTATCAGAAAAACCCAAACCCACGTTTTTTCACTTCAATTTTTGGCGTATGCCAAGCGCGTTGCTTATTTTTTCTTTTCTTTTTGGAATGAAATGCACTGTCTTTTGATCTCATTGTTGAGTATTGTGTTCATTTTCATGGGACACCAAATTGTATTAAATGGTTAAAAGTTTCACTGAAATTTGAATCTACCTGTTTCAGTGAATTAATTTCAACAATTTTTTAAACTAAATGAATGACATTTGAACTATGATCAATGCCACTCGTAAATTAACTCTTTAAGCTTTTTTTTTTGTTGAAGAAATGATTGCAGCTTCTAATTCCTTTGAAATTGATGGAATTAAAACAAATTTCATTTGAGTTGTACATGGTCGAAACATTTCTTTTTGTTTTTTTCTTCTTCCTTCATTTCATCTCTATTTCAAATAGAGAGCTTGTTGTCTTTTGTCCTGAAAGACAATATAAAAAGTTCCATATCTTTGGCTCTCTTTTTCAAATCGAGATTTGGGCTCCGAATAGTTATCTCTGAAGAAAATGGATTAAAAACCTAAAAACATTAATTTAAACTCTACAATTTGAAGAAAAAAAAATGCGTTTGATTTGATTATTTTAGATACAAATTGTGAGCTCGTGGAGAACTTACACACCACGTGTACATGAAAAATCACGTGTATGACAATATATTGTCTTTGTCATACTACGAAATGTATATCACTTGAAATTTGACAATGTCATGAAATTATTCATACTACTTTTGCCACTTGGATTGGTTGTTCCGCAGCTAGGCTGCGATTAAAGCTAATCATTTTATACATTCAGCTACTTCCTCGGTCTGTTATAAGTATATATATACGTGTGTGTGTGTGCTTTGCCTTACTACCATTTCGGAGCATTGATTCAAACGATATGTCTTAACGATTGCTTTCCTTAAAATGCGACGCTGTCAACCTCAGCTATTTCTTGAAAATACACACTCATACATACACTCTGAAAGTCGAACAATTTACTAGGCCAGTAATATCGTATTTCTACGAGGCGAAAATTCTCGACTTCATTCACATTTATAATAATAACAATAAAATAGCTAAATTGTTTTTGGCGGCTTAGTTTTAGTATTGTGCTATTCAGATTGATACTGTTGAAAAGCACAATATTCATATTGCCCTAATGATTTTTAATGTGAATGTGTGTATGTGTATGTGTATAGAAAGCCATTTGTCTTGTTCCATTTCGACATCCCATTTTTAGTTATATTTTCAGTCCCATATGCATTGTGTAAAAGGTGCAAAGGGCCTTAAGTACAATATATATTTTTGAATGTCCTTTTTCTTGAAAAAACCCACAGAGAGAACTCGTTAATTTGTTGTAGGACAAAGGAAGTGTGAAAACAAAAGGAAAATAATAGACAAAAAAGCGCTTTGTCATGCAATCGAACGACGTTTTGTTTGACCAAAAAAAATCCAGCACAAGTGAAGAAATTACAGAACGCGAAGCTACACTGATGTGTGTTTCACTTTTTTTTCGTTTCGTTCGTGTAAACGATGCAACTAGCAACTTTCTATTGGATTTGGCGTAGACAGTAATTGTTAATCATGTTCGTGCTGGGCCACATAGAAAAAAATTCAACAAAATATTATTTTACGAATCTTTACATTTAATGCAGTTAAAATGATACTATTTTTAGACGTGCAAATAAATTCTGAATGCATGAATGTAAGGGGTAATGGTTTATTTTGGCAGATTTAAGTTGAGAGACTCTTTCGAAAAGGACTCTTTATTAATAAAGATAATTTAACTTTGATAGCTGTCATAATAAGAAACAAAAATAATTAGTATACCTACATCGATCGGTCCATGGTTTGTGCTTCTCATCCTTTCAAAAGAAAAAAACAATTTGCAATGATGAACAAATGCTCTGCACCGGTCAATCACGTAGGTTTTCCATTGAGAATGTGGCGTCATTGAATGCGTGTCCAGCTGTCCAAATATAATACTCTATTTCATCATTGACGTCATTCAATATCTTCGATGCGGGTAAAATCGAGGCCACAGAAGGCTTGCTTTCGTTGCCTATATTAAATATTCCTTTGATCTTGGGACCCCCTCCGGAATTTCATGTCTTAATAAATTCTATTTTAACGAAGAACAACAACAAATGGAAAAATACACAGATGAGATATTGATCTTTTTATAAAATTTGATAATATGGATTCGCCATGGATTAATTCAGTTTTGAACAATAAAATCGCCCATGGCATTTATTTGTACATGGAAATTCAACGCCAACCGATTTGCTGTGTGACCAAAACAAATCCACCATAAAATATACGATTGAAATGTGTACCGCAATTTTCTTCACTATTCCAAATGTAGCAACAAAAGATGGCCAATATTAACAAGACCGACGATTTCGTTGACAGTCTCACACAGACGCAAACACAAAACGCGGAACAGAGATAGAGGGAGAGAGAGCATAGCAAAAACTCAAATCACATGTGGCGATGTGCCAAGAAATAACGGAATCTAATACAAATATGTGGTTTGGGATATCAATAATGTTGTCGATAGTGCTGTTTCAACAGCTTTTACATCCTCTTTATATCGTACATTACATTTTCACTTTCTCTCGCTCTGTCTCTCTTTCTCGATGTGACGAAAAACATCAACTTTGTTTATTATGTACACTCATGTTGAGGGTGGAAAAACTATTTGGTAAACATTTACGCTTTCGGCGTAATATTTCCTTTATTCGAAAACATTAAAATCCCCGGACACATTGAACACAAATACAATATTTACGGAAGATGTTTGATTGTGACTCAATATACCATTTTCAATGGTCTGTTTGCATCTAACGGCATCTATACGGTATAATTTGGAAGCATAAGTAAATGCCTTCGTCATAGGGTTTACGCAAATATTGGAAATGGAATTTGTCAGATATCACATTTTAAACGTCATCCATGATTCAAGTCAGTGATCTTTGGATAGGGACAAAAGCAATGCAAACTGAACTCTGAACGGTTTCGGATTTGCTGAATATTTTACCATTGCGCTTCACTGTGTTGTTTTGCATATCGTCGTTTTCTTGCAATGTTCTTCATAGCTTGCACAATGGCAACAAAAACACAATATGTCCTTTCCTGTCTCAATTTGAATTTCGACAAACGAATGCAAATGAATTTGTTCAAGAAATGGAAAATCGTTTCCTTATAAAGAAAATTTAATTGATATTTCAAATAAAAATTGTGATTTTTCGGTCATTTCCAAGCAAATCGTTG